TGTCTGTCTACCCTGGCCTGTCTGTCTACCCTGACCTGTCTGTCTACCCTGGCCTGTCTGTCTACCTTGGCCTGTCTGTCTACCTTGGCCTGTCTGTCTACCCTGGCCTGTCTGTCTACCCTGGCCTGTCTGTCTACCTTGGCCTGTCTGTCTACCTTGGCCTGTCTGTCTACCTTGGCATGTCTGTCTACCTTGGCCTGTCTGTCTACCCCGGCCTGTCTGTCTACCCTTGGCCTGTCTGTCTACCCTGGCCCGTCTGTCTACCCTTGGCCTGTCTGTCTACCTTGGCCTGTCTGTCTACCCTGGCCTGTCTGTCTACCCTGGCCTGTCTGTCTACCCCGGCCTGTCTGTCTACCTTGGCCTGTCTGTCTACCCTGGCCTGTCTGTCTACCTTGGCCTGTCTGTCTACCTTGGCCTGTCTGTCTACCCCGGCCTGTCTGTCTACCCTGGCCTGTCTGTCTACCCCGGCTACACAGAGCCTTTCACCTCCTGGTCATAGAGGGGAGGCAGCTTTGTTTATTGCTGTCAAGATTAAACTGTGGTCATCCTGTATGGCTGTACAGACACAGAGAGAGATAGAGAGAGACACACACATACACAGAGAGAGGCGTATATGGACATACTGATTAATGCATGTATGGCTGTACAACACAGAGAAAATGGAGAGACCTAAAAGCAACACTATGAAGCAAGCCGTGTAAGGTGCATTTTAGAGGTGAAAGTTACATACTGGAAGTTGAATGCAATGTATTAATTCAGACCCTACCCTCAAACAACAGGTAAGAAAGAATGCCCATGGAAGCAATTCCTAAAACGATCTCTGATGAAAACAGCTACAATCAGAAGTGCTTTTTTACGTAGTGTCAATATTAGAAGGTAGGGCATACAGAAGTTAAGAACTTACAGGTTCAGAACATACAACGTAGTCAATTAGAGAATACAGGAGGTTAGATCTCACGGGTAGGATAGTAGCAGGTGGAGAACTACGAGTTACGGTAAAAACGTAGCAGTCTAGGAACTACGGATTAAGAATAGTAGCACGTTTTAGGATTAAGAGGTTAGGAAACTACAAGAGGTTAGGAGAAATTAACAGCAGGTTAGGAGAACTTACGGAGGTTACGTAGCAGTAGGAGACTACGGAGGTTAGGAGAATTAACGTAGCAAGTTAGGAGAACTTACAGAGGTTAGGAGAACTTACACAGGAGGTTAGGAGAATTAACGTAGCAGGTTAGGAGAACTTACGGAGGTTAGGATAATTAACGTAGCAGGTTAGGAGAACTTACAGAGGTTAGGAGAATTAACATAGCAGGTTAGGAGAACTTATGGAGGTTAGGAGAATTAACGTAGCAAGTTAGGAGAACTTATGTAGGAGGTTAGGATAATTAACGTAGCAGGTTAGGATAACTTACGGAGGTTAGGAGAATTAACGTAGCAGGTTAGGAAAACTTACGCAGGAGGTTAGGATAATTAACATAGCTGGTTAGGATAATTAGGTTAAGGTTAGGAAAAGAGTTAGCAAAAATGCTCTCCTAACCTGCTAGGAAGTCACTTCTGGTCGTAGCTGTATTGAAGTGGCGTGTTTGTAGGGAGTCCCGCCAGGGGACGTCCATCAGGGGCACAGCATCCATGTGAAATGAATAACCATTACCAGAGGGTCATAATTAAATCAACTGTACACTGCCAATATCTCTATGATCTATTGTTCTGTTACTAATGGCATATTACCTCAACTGACATCAGCCCAAAATGATGTATCCCATTCGATTCCCTCCGTCAGACCATCTTGCCAGCGTCCGAGGCTAAAGCAGGTACAAAACCTCACCACCTACAACGTGCAATATGAGGTTAACTAACTAGCTAACTCTCTGGAAGAAACATAATATAACACAATGAATGATGACGAGGAATGATCACGCCCTTGATATAGTAACCTGTAGAGCAGGGATGGGCCACTTTGATAGGGGTGGGGGCCACTTTGATAGGGGTGGGGGCCACAAAAAATCTGAACTCATCACGACCGCAGTTGTTCACAGGTTAGCGTAACCACATGTACACATTTAGGATCGAGAGAAATGTTTACAGTTAATATTATATCTGAGTGAGTGACTAACAAAATCAAATGAGGGCCCCCAGGCCGGTGATTTTACTAAGTTTAGATAGCTGGCCGCTAGACTAACTTACCAGTTAAAAATGTGTTTGCTGACATGAGCTAATTGAGTGACTATCAGTGACTGACATAAAAGAAAAATTGCAGACGCACAAACAAATTTTGAAATTACACCTTGTGTATTCTACTATTATAACTTGCTGAAATTGAGCTGAGGTCCTTCAAAAAGGAGGGCCGCTGGTTGTCCATCCCTGCTTTAGAGGGATGGCATTGCCAGGAGCTCTCCAATCCACCTGCTCTACTTCCTGGGTTGGCATGTAGAGGGAAGGGTGTGGGGGTGTCTCAGTGTGATTGGTGTACAGCCAAGCCCCCTGTTCTGTGATTGGTGTACAGCCAAGCTTCCTGTCCTGGACCTGGATAGGTAAAAGGGACAGGTGGTAGTAGTATTAACTCAAAGCCTGTTTTGTGCATGATTGACTCTTCTTTGTTAAAATACCCCAAACTCCCAATTGTGCACTGAAAAACCTTTGAAGATAAAAACAGTCCATGGTTGCACAATGCCATTATTACACCATAATAACATAAAACAGAATGGAGATTAAGCACATACTTGATATAGAGAATATTTTTTATTTTAACCCATAGGATCTCTTTTACAGTGCATTTGAGTTCTTTACACAATTATTCGCTAAGTGACAGGTTTTAGCCACTAGTACTGAATCAGATAACTATATATTATATTACATATCGGGGTTCCACTTCCTCCTCGTTCAGATTTTGCCATCAACACCGCGTGAAAGGCCCCAAATGTTATTAGGCAATGGATAACCATGACAACCATACAGGCTCATCACTATCTCATTTAAATCTTCAGTTCATACATTTATTAACAAATCATTCTCTTTACCTCTTTATCTAATGGACATTTCCCTGTTCTGATCTTTAAATTATTTTTCACGTTGTTAAGCAGCTACCATTAAAGCAAACCAAGTATTGGCCAGTTCAGTTTAGTTACCTGCTGTCGTCTCCATCAGAAAAAGGCTTTCAAAAACAAAGACAAAAATAAAAGAAAATATGGCACTTCTGTCTCAACGAACAAGGAACAAAAAAACAGACCTTTTTGCCATAGGACAATTTGTAGGAACCACAGCCAAACTCTAGCATGGCATCCAAACTGATTTCACTACGTTCCACAACAGTTTCACTTGCGTTTGGTGACATGGCAAATTCAGTTCAGATACAAGGCTAGCCAAACTCCCCCTACCGTACAGGGGAAAAAAAAGAAAGAAATTCATAGCACTTTAGTACGTTCTCCAGTCTTTTTAAAACGCCAGGCATTAACATTCTGGGACAGGAACCTGACGAGAAGGGTTGATTAAAAGAGGAGGGTTTGAGCAGTCAAAGCGGAACCATGCTACTGTACACAGCAGTGTAGAAGTATACTCCATTATTCAAAACCCCTCCCTCCCTCCCTCCCATCAGCTAACGACCATCAAGTACTTTCCAGTGACCTTTCATTGTAAGTCATACTGTACGACAACATTGCAGAAAAACCCTCTATTTGGAAACATGGCAACAGCTTGTCTCGTCTGGATGCTTAGCCGTTCCATTCAAATTTTTCTTTTTGAAGAGACTCCTCTGATCAGGTGCATATCCGAATGACAATTATTGATCTGTTCTAATAAACCTTAGTCCACACGGATAGTGGGATACCTCAGATGTTCTACATGTTGTCAGGGCTACAATTGACTTGACAAAGACAGAACCACATTGACTGTGCATATCTTTCTTTTTTTTTTTTTGAAATAACATTGAAGGAATGAACAAGTACACAACCGACCTAATATCACCAGTCTTCCAGTTACTCCAACACTTGTCCATTTCATTTCAAAACGTTTACATTCAAACTCCACAAAAAAGATACGACCGCAAGTAAACAGCAGATTTTCTCCCTTTCGCTCGAGTTTGGTCTCAAATTCGCTGAAATAGACAAAGAGCTTGTAGTGCACAAAATAATAATAATACAAAATTAGACTTTTTAGATACTGTAGCAGCATTTAGCTTTTTAAAGTTCTCGTCAGCCACCAGTAGAACAGGTAAAGGCTTTGGAGTCCCCCGTACTTTACGAGGGTGAGAGATTGTCCTCTGAGGCGAGTAGGTGTGTGTGTTTGGGGGGGGGGGTACATCATAGGGTGGTTGGTTGGTGTGTGACAGGGATGCACTAGAGTGTGTGTGTGTGTGTGGGGGGGGGGGGGGGGGGGCAGTCAGGTAGGTTTGAGATGATGGAACACCTCCCAGTAGGTTACAGGAGCAGGGGGGCGATATGGGGCATCGGGGGGGGGGTATATGAGGCACCACTAGAGGACAACAGCCCCAGGGCAGGGCAGGGCAGGGCAGGGCAGGGCAGGGCAGGGCAGGGCAGGGCAGGGCAGGGCAGCAGGACGCTGCAGCCTTCCTTCCAAGCTGGAAACGTGTTCGACCAAAAGGGGTTCAACTCAGTGGGATAGCCTCCATACCATCCGCTCCTCTTCCTCCTCCTCCAGTTCATTCACTGCCATCCGCTCCTCTACTCCTGTCAGTCTCTCTCATCCACAGCAGTCAGTGGCCTCCCTCCCACAGAGCAACAAGACTCTCCCTCCCTCCCACAGAGCAACAAGACTCTCCCTCCCTCCCACAGAGCAACAAGACCCCCCCCCCCCCCCCCCCCAGCCAAGACCAGACCATGTTAGGGTAGTGTGAATGGGGCACTTGGCTCATATCTGTCCAAAGCTGATCCAAGATGGTGCTGATCCAGTTCCTAACTGGCCCAAACTGAACCGAGCCAAGCCAGGCCAGACTGAGCCAGGACTGGGCCATTCAGTAAAAAAAGGGCTCTCTCTCTCTCTCCTGTCTCTCAGCTGGAGGCTGTGGCGATGGGCTTCTTGAGCTGCTGGCTGCGGATCTCTCTGTTCCTGGCCTCCAGCAGTAGGTCATAGCAGACGTTACACACCAAGACAGGGTCATACAGCTGCTGGTCTGGGATGGGCAGCTTCAGGTGGCAGCAGTCTTTACAGAACACATTGCCACAGTTCCTGAGGAGACAGAGACAGAGTCAACTAGATTCACATTTCAGTCACTCAGCAGACGCTCTTATCCAGAGAGTGCATTCAACTAAGGTCGGTAAAACAAACCCTAACCCAAATATAAAACTTTAAGTAAAAAGTAAAACTTTTTTTGCTAAACAGGAGCTGTCGTTTTTAAAATCTAAAATCCCTAGTAGGTGTGGTATAAAATCTGCTGAGCGTTGAAGGTATAGACTAATGTTCATTATCCTACACTTTACAGGAGCTTACTTATGATATCTTATCTAGGGACATCTTGATTAATGCTTCCATTAGTGATCAAAGGTAAAGCTTAACAAACCTGCAGTGATGACGTCTCTTGGCCATCCAGAACTCACAGTCGCAGTTGAAACAATGGGAGGCCATGTGATCGGGGACCCATCTTGTGACCTGCAGACAGACAGACAGACAGACACCTATTAGAACAGTGTATCGGTATATAGTATATGTATATAGGTATCTGGGGCAGAAAGGTAAAAGGTGAGTGGGAGGGGCTGTAGTGTACAATGTAGTATAAAGTTAGGGGGGGGTTAGGGGTTAGGGGTTGGGGGGGGTTAGGGGTTAGGGGGGTTAGGGGGCAGTAGACTATGAGGGTTAGGGGTTAGGGGGCAGTAGACTATGAGGGTTAGGGTTAGGGGGCAGTAGACTATGAGGGTTAGGGGTTAGGGGGCAGTAGACTATGAGGGTTAGGGGTTAGGGGTTAGGGGGCAGTAGACTATGAGGGTTAGGGGTTAGGGGGCAGTAGACTATGAGGGTTAGGGGTTAGGGGGCAGTAGACTATGAGGGTTAGGGGTTAGGGGGCAGTAGACTATGAGGGTTAGGGGTTAGGGGTTAGGGGGCAGTAGACTATGAGGGTTAGGGGTTAGGGGGCAGTAGACTATGAGGGTTAGGGGTTAGGGGGCAGTAGACTATGAGGGTTAGGGGTTAGGGGGCAGTAGACTATGAGGGTTAGGGGTTAGGGGGCAGTAGACTATGAGGGTTAGGGGTTAGGGGGCAGTAGACTGAGGGTTAGGGGTTAGGGGGCAGTAGACTATGAGGGTTAGGGGTTAGGGGTGGGGTTAGGGGTGGGGTTAGGGGTGGGGTTAGGGTTAGGGGGCAGTAGACTACAGGGTTAGGGTTAGGGGGCAGGGTTAGGGATAGGAGACTATGAGGGACGCTGACCTCTGTCTCCTTCTGCTCCACTCTGTCCCAGCTGCCCTCGGAGAAACGGTCCTCGCTGTGGTCCGATAGACTGTCCTCCTCATCACTGTCGTCTGACTCACGCAGACACGTCTGGAGACGGAGAGGACAGACAAGAGGACAGACAAGCGGTCAGACAGGTGAAAATGAGAGGGAGGGTGACATGATGAGAGAGAGCGAGAGAGACAGTTCCACACTTTCCTTTCTTTTTTTGTACAGAGACAACTATTACAACTAACCCCACTAGCACATATACATGTCATTTAGCAGACGCTCTTATCCAAAGACACTTAGAGGAGCAATTAGGGTTAAATGCCTTGCTTAAGGGCACATCGGTAAATTTTTTCACCTAGTCGGCTCGGGAATACGAACCAGCAACTTTTCGTTTACTGGCTATTGAGGGATTGGCTCTCTATTAAAGGGCAATTCCACCAAAGTTAACATTTGGGTTGTAATTATGAAGTATTTAGTAACGTCCTACATGTATATCCTTTCACATCACAGTAATAATACATTGGGGTTCAAAGTCCAAGTAGGAGATCTACTCACAATGTCGTCCTCGTAGTCGACGTCAGGCTCGGAGGGCGGCGTGCCGTACTGTTTCCTCTCCAGCCTCATCTGCAGCTGGCGCACCTGGCATCTCAGCACCTCCACTTCCTGTTTATACCCCGCCTCCATCTGCCTGAGGCGCTGCTGCACCGCGTCCACGGGCACCGGCAGCCCGTCATCATCCAGGTAGGCCGGGGGCGGCTGGGAGGAGGGCACGGGGGAGGCCGAGGAGCAGGGAGAGGCTGGGAGGAGCTGGCGGATTGAAAAGGTGGGTGGAGCGCTGGTGATGGTTGGGCACATGATGGCAGCGTAGCCCGGGCTGCTTCTGACTGCAGAGAGCCAGCCTGACCCGGACCTGACAGGGCTGGAGCTGGCTGGGGCTGGAGCCGAGGAGCGCACCCTGTCCTCCCTCTCCCTTCGGCCGTACTGCGAACCTCCGTTAGGCACGCCGTTGGGCACGGCCATGCCCTGGGCGCGCAGCAGCTTGCCAGCCAGGCGTCGACTCTGGTAGGCAGTGGGCTGAAGGGCTCGACAGAAGCCTGACGAGAGGTTGGCTGAGAGTCCAGAGTGGCTGGCTGCAGTGCTGCAGGCAGACTGGACCAGGCCCTGGACACTCTCCCAGCGAGAGCCCAGCAGAGACAGCTCCTCACTGACACGCAGTTGGCTCTGAGAGACCCGGCGTCGCACCTCCACCGCCTGGCTGTTGTCAACAGGGGGCACTGTGGAGGCGAAGGACGCTGCTACCTTTGATGTTGGTACTGCTATCACACGTCCTCTCAGAGGCACCAGGTCTCTACCACTCACACCCTCTGTCCTCTTCCCCTCTCCCTCCTCTCCCTGGGCCTGGGGTAAGGCCCACTCTGGGGCCTGGGCCTGGCCTAGACTTTCTCTCCTGCTAGGGGGTAGCGTTGGTGGGGCCTCTGTTTCGTCTGTGAGCGTCTCGGTGGAGTCCTCCATGGCCGTAGGAAGTATGGGAACTAGCTGCTCAGGGGCCAGCAGCTCTGAAGAAGTGGAGCGTCCGATCTGGAGGCCATTGGTGATAGGCCTGTTCAGAACGGCTGCCGGTAGTGGGCCCTTCCAGGCAGGTGGTGATGGTATGCAGGCAGGACGGGTAGTGACCAAGGCAGTCCTGGAGTGACTGTCAGCCATCTGATGTGGCAGTCGAGGGGGAGGAACTGGGGGGCTGGTGGTCTGGGAGAGGGTCTGATGGAGGATTGGTGTGGGCAGGGGGAGAGAGGGGAGGTGGGCGAGGCCCTGCTCCAGAGCGATGGGGGAGAAGGGCAGGGAGGGCAGGGGCTGGGTGGTGAGACAGATCTCCTCTCTCAACTCCTCCTCCTCAAAGCCCTCTTCCCTCGGCTCCATCTCCAGGGGTGTGGTAGGAGGGATTTGAGTGACGGGCTCCACCTCAGAGTCATCGCTTTCCAATCCCGTGTCAGGGCTGACGTCCTCTGGGCTGTCAGGTGCGGCCCCTCCTCCTATAGCAGCCATAGGCTCCAGGCCAAGGCCCGTGCGGCCCTCCTGACAATGCTTATTGAGGTTGGGGTCGCTGGAGGTGCGGGTGAGGGCCACCCCGTTCTCACAGGCAGACACCAGGTTGTCCATGGAGCGAGTCTTAGGAAGCCTGCACAGAGGGGAATAAATACAAATCTCAAGTTAATGAAAGTGGTGGAGCTTCCCTCATCTGTGAGCTTCCCTTCTGTACCACAAAAGGGCAGGCAGGTGAGCTTCCCTTCTATACCACAAAAGGGCAGGCAGGTGAGCTTCCCTTTTGTCCCACTAGAGGGCAGGCAGGTGAGCTTCCCTTCTGTCCAACTAGAGGGCAGGCAGGTGAGCTTCCCTTCTGTCCAACTAGAGGGCAGGCAGGTGAGCTTCCCTTCTGTACCACTAGAGGGCAGGCAGGTGAGCTTCCCTTCTGTACCACTAGAGGGCAGGCAGGTGAGCTTCCCTTCTGTACCACTAGAGGGCAGGCAGGTGAGCTTCCCTTCTGTACCACTAGAGGGCAGGCAGGTGAGCTTCCCTTCTGTACCACTAGAGGGCAGGCAGGTGAGCTTCCCTTCTGTACCACTAGAGGGCAGGCAGGTGAGCTTCCCTTCTGTACCACTAGAGGGCAGGCAGGTGAGCTTCCCTTCTGTACCACTAGAGGGCAGGCAGGTGAGCTTCCCTTCTGTACCACTAGAGGGCAGGCAGGATCTAAACACTAGAGCTGTAGATACACTGAGCCCATGAGCCTGTTCATCATGATTTACCCCACCGTGAGTAAATCCTTAAAAAACAATACCGAAAATAAGCCCTTGAAAACACAGAGAGCTCAGAGATACAAGGAGATAGAATTAAGTCAATGGTTTTACAAATGCACTAAGAGACAGAAGACTGGAGTGAGTGGAAAGCCCTACCTGTCCAGGGACCGTGAGGTGAGCTCGTCTCCCTGTAGGCCGGGGGACAGGTAGAGCTCCATGGCGTCCTCGGCAGAGGTGCAGGGTGAGGAGGTGGGCAGGTAGACGGCCGTCCACAGCTGCAGGGCCCGGGTGTGGCACACCGGCTGCAGCACCTGGACACAAGGGACAGGGAGGGTTAGGAGCAGAGGTCAATAATAGACGAACACAAAAAATGATCTCAGTAAAGCCATTTAAAAGTATGTGGACACGCCTTCAAATTAGTGGATTCGGCTATTTCAGCCACACCCGTTGCTGACAGGTGTATAAAATCGAACACACAACCATGCAATCTCCATAGACAAACATTGGCAGTAGAAATGGCCGGTACTGAAGAGCTCAGTGACTTCCAACGTGGCACCGTCATAGGATGCCACCTTTCCACCTAGTCAGTTCGTCAAATTTCTGCCCTGCTCGAGCTGCCCCGGTCAACTGTAAGTGCTGTTTATTGTGAAGTGGAAACGTATAGGAGCAACAACGGCTCAGCCGCGAAGTGGTAGGCCACACAAGCTCACAGAACGGGACCACCGAGTGCTGAAGCGCGTAGCGTGTAAAAATCGTCTGTCTTCAGTTGCAACATTCACTACTGAGTTCCAAACTGCCTCTGGAAGCAACATCAGCACAATAACTGTTCATTGGGAGCTTCATGAAATGGGTTTCCATGGCAGAGCAGCATCACACAACCCTAAGATCACCATGCCCAATGCCAAGAGTCGAATGGAGAGGTGTAAAGCTCGCCGCCATTGGACTCTGGAGCAGTGGAAACGCGTTCTCTGGAGTGATGAATCACGCTTCACCATCTGGCAGTCCCGACGGACGAATCTGAGTTTAGCGGATGCCAGGGGAATGCTACCTGCCCCAATGCATAGTGCCAACTGTAAAGTTTGGTGGAGGAGGAATAATAGTCTGGGGCTGTTTTTCATGGTTCGCACTAAGCCCCTTAGCTCCAGTGAAGGGAAATCTTAACGCTACAGCATACAATGACATTCTGTGCTTCCAACTTTGTGGCAGCAGTTTGGGAAAGGCCCTTTCCTGTTTCAGCATGACAATGCCCCCATGTACAAAGCGAGGTCCATACAGAAATGGTTTGTCGAGATCAGTGTGGAAGAACTTGACTGGCCTGCACAGAGCCCTGACCTCAACCCCATCTAACACCTTTTGGGATGAATTGGAACGCAGACTGCGAGCCAGGCCTAATCGCCCAACATCAGTGCCCGACCTCACTAATGCTCTTGTGGCTGAATGGAAGCAAGTCCCCGCAGCAATGTTCCAACATCTAGTGGAAAGCCTTCCCAGAAGAGTGGAGGCTGTTATAGCAGCAAAGGGGGGACCAACTCCATATTAATGCCCATGATTTTGGAATCAGATGTTCGACAAGCAGGTGTCCACATACTTGCTAATGCCAAGAGTGTTCAACGCTGTCATCAAGGCAAAGGGTGGCTACTTTGTAGAATCTCAAATATAAAATATATTTTGATTTGTTTAACACTTATTTGGTTACTACATGATTCCATGTGTGTTATTTCATAGTTTTGATGTCTTCACTATTATTCTACAATGTAGAAAATATTACAAATAAAGAAAAACCCCTTGAATGAGTAGGTGTTCTAAAACCTTTGACCGGTAGTGCACTTCCATTCATATGTTCAACTGGTACCGTTGGGGGGAGGACCTTCAGATAAGTCTTGTGAGGCCTGTTAGGCGTCCAAGAGCAAAAGCGTGTTGGTGAGAGTCTCACCTTCCCACAGAGAGGTCATATCAGTGTGTAGGCCAAACCGTTCGGACACTACAGACCATTTTGTGAGAAGACCGATTTTCGAGACGTCTCACGGTCTGACACCGCTCTAGCTCTGTCACCTTTCACCGCAGGATGCGGAAGTGCGACATCGGCGGGTGCGGTGGATTGAGACGCAGGCCCATGCGGTGGATTGAGACGCAGCCCATGCAAAAAAAACAAACAGATATCTCTAGCTTAAACTGACAGATTTTTATGGGGATTTTTTTAAATGCTAATTAGATTTCCGCCATCGACTCTAGGAGGTTAAAAGGTCAACAAAAGTACCAAATAGCTCCAGTCATTGTATAGACACACTCTGAGCCTCGGCATCCTCAGAAGTGTATTGGACAGGGAAAGAAATCGATACACTGTGTCAATGTGAAAATGGAAAAAACCCTCAGTATATCTGGCCCCCAAAAATTATTTTCTGCCCTTCTGACATTTTGCTACTGTCTGAAGCACAGCAGATCCCTCTGTTAATAACCAGGAGAGGAGAAGAGATAAGAAGCGGAGAGAAGCGGGGACAGTAGCGGTTACCATATCATGACTGGGGATAAAGAGGAAGTTCTGGAAGTTCTTGTTGCCGGTGCGGAGCAGAGACCAGACGGAGCAGGTGCGTTTGTAGATGTTGCGGGCCTCTCTCTCCCGCCCGTTGTTACACAGGAACGTCCCATAAAGGCAGGAGTATGTGTGCTGAACCAGCTTGACCTGAGAGGAGAGGAACACAACATGCACGGTTATGCCAATACACATTCAGTAACACTACACTCCTAAACAGAACTAAACAGAGTACAGTCATATACGGTTAAGTCCTTACATACAACACACATAACACTGTTGCTCAAAGGTTACACTCTGATATCTATTTCATGTAGAAACTTTAAATGATCTTTAAGAAAGGTATTTTACCAACAGAATATTAGTAACATGCCTTACTCTTCAAAGAGAACGAATGAAAAGAGAGAAAGAGAGACCAGGTAAGAGCCAAGAGAACGAATGAAAAGAGAGAAAGAGAGACCAGGTAAGAGCAAAGAGAACGAATGAAAAGAGAGAAAGGGAGATTGAGAAATAAGGAGAGGTAAAGAGAAAGAAAGCAAGTGAGAGAATGTATGGGTGTAGAACAGAGAGAAAGAAAAGAAGCTGTGGGAAGGCGAGGTGCAGTGGACGTACCAGGAAGGCTTCGTTGAACTCGAAGAGGCAGGGGAACTGTTTGAGCAGCTGATGAACACAGTCCAGCCACTGGAGGAAGACGGGGCACTGCTCACTCACGTCATCGGCATTCTCCTGGTGACCGCAGCGGTCGCCAAACTTATGACCGTAGTCCAACCACTCCGTCTCCACCAGCACCTGGAAACCCTGTGGATGGCGAGGCCAAGTCAGATCCAGTCATCTCTCACATCACTGCAATTCAGTTCTCTTTATTGTAAACTGACAAAGTGCTCCCTTGTGACACGTATGTGTAAATATAACCTATCACTGTATAAAAGGTGTGTGTGTTGTTGTAAATTCAATAGGATGTGTGAAACAACTGGTCGTACCATCAACGTACTATCAGAACATAAAACCTGATATTTGCTGCATCAGTGTTAAGTGTCCGTATAAAAGAAGCACACTGTTTTCATCATTGCACCACAGTATCATAAGGGCCAGTGTGAGTGTCTACCTCTAGTGTCCTATAGAATGGGTCCAGCAGGATCTTGGCGAGCGCCACAATCTGGGGGGTGCGGTCCCACCCGTCTGAACAATGCACCAGAACTGGACGTCCCTCCCTTTCCACCGCAGAGCACACCAGAGTGGCTGCCTTCAGCATGACGGACAGGTGCTGCAGCCAACGGGTGCTCTCCAGAGCAGACAGCCAGCTGTGAATGCACAAACCGAGGGGCGACCAATGAGAACAGGTCTAGAGGTTCCAGAATGTATTCCGAGGGAGCCCCAGGCTTCTGAAGGTAAATAAACACTGCTGGGTTGAGTAACCGGGGATAACCTGGACACCAGGGAGAGGCAGGGGGAAGAGGGAGGGGATCCCCTGACCTAGCTCTGTAAGTAATGGGCTCTGTCATTTTAAAGAGGGTCACTCACTACAGCACCTCTTTTAGAATACCAGGAAGTCTACCACTAGAATAACCCTCTGCGTGCATCACCTGATTCCAGTTGGGCAGTTGGGGCATGCACTGTCCACATGCAAGGAGACACATACAAGACGTGGGTTCAAATACTATTTGAAATCTTTCAGGTACTTTGAGCGTTTGCTTTAGCCAGCCTGGAGTCCCAGGTGGGCGGGATTTGCCCTCTTGGGACTTTTCTATTGCTTCTCTAGTGTGTGACAGGCAAGTTCAATAAAAGCACAGCTTAAATATTTGAAATTATTTCAAATACTATTTGAACCCAGGTCTGACACAGCACACACGCAAATACATAAACACCACAAACACACTTTAGAGACAGACAGCTGGCCTGCCCAGCAGGAATGAGGCTGGATTGTAGCTGACTGCATTCCCTCCCTCCCTGTGGTGTAAACTTACTGAGGCCTGGAGAAAGGAATGGAGGGATGATAGGAGAGATGTCAGAGGGATCCACTTACTTCCCAGGGTCGGGGATCTGGCTGCAGACGGCTCGGAGGGACTGGAAGCTGTTCCTAATGGAGTGGATGTTGGCCATGCCCATGAACATCACTTCACAGTTAGGGTAGTAGTCTGAAACATAAACAGACTACAGTTAGGGTAGTACTCTGAAACAGACTACAGTTAGGGTAGTACTCTGAAACAGACTACAGTTAGGGTAGTACTCTGAAACATAAGACTACAGTTAGGGTAGTACTCTGAAACACAAACAGACTACAGTTAGGGTAGTAATCTGAAACATAAACAGACTACAGTTAGGGTAGTACTCTGAAACATAAACAGACTACAGTTAGGGTAGTACTCTGAAACATAAACAGACTACAGTTAGGGTAGTAATCTGAAACATAAACAGACTACAGTTAGGGTAGTAATCTGAAACATAAGACTACAGTTAGGGTAGTACTCAAACATAAGACTACAGTTAGGGTAGTAATCTGAAACATAAGACTACAGTTAGGGTAGTACTCTGAAACATAAGACTACAGTTAGGGTAGTACTCTGAAACATAAGACTACAGTTAGGGTAGTACTCTGAAACATAAGACTACAGTTAGGGTAGTACTCTGAAACATAAGACTACAGTTAGGGTAGTACTCTGAAACATAGACTACAGTAGGGTAGTACTCGAAAACATAAACAGACTACAGTTACGGGTAGTACTCAAACATAAAGACTACAGTTAGGGTAAGTACTCTGAAACATAGACTACAGTTAGGGTAGTACTCTGAAAATAGACTACAGATTGGGTAGTATCGAAAACCATAAGACTACAGTTAGGGTAGAACTCTGAAACATAAGACTACCAGTTAGGGTAGTATCTGAAATATAGACTACCCCAGTTAGGTAGTACTCTGAAACATAAGACTACAGTTAGGGTCGTAATCTGAAACATAAGACTACAGTTAGGTAGTACTTGAAAAAATAAAGACGACAGTTAGCGGTAGTACTCTGAAACATAAGACATACAGTTAGGTAGTACTTCTGAAACATAAGAACAGTTAGGGTAGTACTCTGAAACATAAGGATACAGTTAGGGTAGTACTCTTGAAAACATAAGACTACAAGTTAGGGTAGTACCTGAAAACATAAGACTACGGTAGGGTAGTACTCTGAAACATAAGACTTACAGTTAGGGGAGTGCACCCACCTCTCATCACTAACCCCCTCACTCCTATACCCCTCTCGTTGTGTGGTACCCGCATACGCCCCCCTTGCCTGCAACCCCCATAAATCCCGCCTCTCTAGCGTCGCATCGAACTAACCCTCCTTCCCGCTCACCCCTCTTTACTGACCCGCCATTGCCATCTCTTCAGTGCCCACATTCTCCCCCACATGTTCCACCCCCCTATTTCCCCTATCCAACTTTTATTACCTCCGGGGGTTTTTTTTAGTACTCTGAAACATAAGACTTACAGTTGGGTATACTATGAAACATAAGACTACAGTTAGGGTAGTACTCTGAAACATAAGACTACAGTTAGGGTAGTACTCTGAAACATAAGACTACAGTTAGGGTAGTACTCTGAAACATAAGACTACAGTTAGGGTAGTACTCTGAAAAAGACTACAGTTAGGGTAGTAATCTGAAACATAGACTACATTTTAGGGTATACTCTTGAAACATAAGAACGAACAGTTAGGGTAGTACTTCTGAAACATAAGACTACAGTTAGGGTAGTACTCTGAAACATAAGACTACAGTTAGGGTAGTACTCTGAAACACACAATATCATCAGTCACATGGGGTATTAATACTCTGCAGACACACACAGAGACAAGAATGTCATCAGTCAGAAGTAAACAGACACAAAGTACGATTTCTCTCTACTGCTTAGGGACTCTCAACATTTACGTCTACATTGTTGTCATTTAGCAGACGCTCTTATCCAGAGAGACTTACAGGAGCATTTAGGATTAAGGGCTCAAGGGCACAGACAGATTTTTCACCTAGTCGGCTCGGGGGAATCGATCCAGCAGCCTTTCGGTTACTGGCCCAACGCTCTTAACCTGCTAGATAACCTGATTGATTCCAGCTCAGAACACACAAGTCTGTCAGGCTGACGGGTTTGAATGTCAACAAGACGTGTGACTGGCTCATGACAGTAGAAGAAGAAGAGAGGAATAAATGTGTGTTCACCGACCTTCACACTCACAGCCACCTCCCTTGGCGCGGTTGGCCACTGCAGCGGTATAGGAGCGGGCATCGAGGATGAGAAGCTTTTGTGGCGCAGTGTTGGCATCAGGGCCTGGGCATCCTGTCAGAGAGGAGTCTGAGGGAGGGAGGATTTAGATTTCAGTTTTAGATTTAGTGGTGTGGTGTGGGGGGACAGGTAAAGAGAATGAGAGATGGCGAGTTGGGAGAGAGTGGTGTGGATAGGGGACAGGTAGAGAGAATGAGAGATGGCGAGTTGGGAGAGAGTGGTGTGGATAGGGGACAGGTAGAGAGAATGAGAGATTGAGGGATGGCGTAGGAGAGAGCGGGAGAGAGGAGGGTTACAACGGAGAGAGGAGGGTTAGGGACAGGGGCGTGATGATCGATAGTGCTGGCTCAGCTCGACCCCTGGAGAAAATCAATATCTCCTCCTGATGATGACCACTGCAGCACTGCTTAGTAACAGCTACCACAGCGACAGGCGAAAACAACATTGCTAGGGGTCTGTGATCGGTAGGTGGGGCAGAGCCTCATCACGCAGAAACATCTCAGATAGTCATTACTCACAGATAGACAAGGGCCCGGTTTTCCCAAAAGCATCTTAAGGCTATGTTCACCTTAGAACAATAGGATCCTAACGATGAACTTAGCCTTAAGATGCTTTTGGGAAACCAGGCCCGGGGCTACTAACCTACATTTCTCATCCACTCCCTCAATCGGTGGCCTGCCATTTAGAGTTGGACAACATTCTCTGTCTGCCTAGCCTGGTCCCAGACCTGTTTGTGCTGTGTGGCCAACCGCTATGGTCAACTAACACCTATAGTCCGCTATACAGCACAAACAGGTCTGGTACCAGGCTATCCCTCTCCCACTCGACTCAATCAATGTCGAGCCACTCAGAGTCAACGTCACACCTCAACACAGTAAAGTCATGGACATAGACGGTGGGTGCTCTCTGAAAAGACAGTCCCTTTCCCACAGGCTCCGACTCCTACGGTTTGTGGAGAAGCCATCTTAATGTATCATAACAATAATACATGCAATTTGTTCTCCCATCTGCATTCATGTCACAGTCATTTACACACAGAGAGAACGGGAGAGAGAGAGAGAGAGAGAGAGAGAGAGACTGACTCGAGAAAAGGAGAGAAGAGAGAGAGAGAGAGAAAGGAGATGAGAGAGACGAGAAAGCGGAGATAACGGTAGGAGAGAGGAACAGATAGGAGAGAGAATCGATGATTGAGACCGAAGAGGACCGATGAAAGAGAGACGAGAGAGAGAGAGAGGATGGAGAGAGAGAGAGAGAGAGAGAGAGAGAGAGAGAGAGAGAGAGAGGAGAGGTGGAGGAGAGAAGTGGAGCGGTTCGAGAGCTTCAAGATCCTTGGTGGTCATCCACATCACTAAAGGAACTATCATGGTCAAACACACCAAGACAGTCGTGAAAAGAGCCCACCACAACGACTACTGCCCATCAGGTCTTTCCTCGCCTTCCCCCCCCTCGTCTTTGCCCACTCTTTCCTCACATCCTCCGATCAACAACCCCCTCTCCTCATCTTCCTTGCCCTCACCTCCTCCGTTTTCCGGCTTTTCTAACCTCTCCCTCCTTCTGTTTTCCCCTTCCTTTCACGGCTGAAAAGATTTAGCATGGGTCCTCGGATCCTCAAAAAGTTATACAGCTGCACATCGAGAGCATCCTGACTGGTTGCATCACCGTTGGTATGCTCACTGTCGATCCGATCGCAAAGGCGGCTAGAGGTAGTGCGTACGGCCCAGGCATCACTGGGGCCAAAAGCCCCTGCCATCCAGGACATGTATTACCAGGCGGTGTCAGGAGGAAGGCCCAGAAAATTGTCAAAGACTCCAGTCACCCATGTAATAGCCGTTCTCTCTGCTACCGCACGGCAAGCGGTACTGACCACCAAGTCTGGAAAAAAAAGCAACAGGACACTGAACAGCTTCTACCCCCAAGCCATAAGACTTCTGGACAGTTTTTTTTCACCAAAATGGCTACCCTGACTATCTGAATCACCCCATGTTTTTATTCTACTGAATCTCTTACACAGGCTCGATGTAGACTCACTGGACTATAACCACTCAACTCACACATACTACACTGACACTCCAACACAAACCACACACACTACCCTGACACTCCAACAAACACAACACACACACACACACACCACACACACACACACTACCTGACACTCCAACACAAACACACCACACACACACTACCTGACACGCTAACACACACACACTACCCTGACACGCCAACACACACACACACACACACACACAAACATATACCCGACACTAAATAAAAAAAAAAAAAACAATAAAATAAAAAAAAAAAAAAAAAAAAAAAAAAAAAGAACAATGTACAAAGACAAAAAAAAAAAAAAAAAAAACTAAAAAGGAAAAGAAAAAAAAAAACCAAAAAAAAAAAAAAAAATAGAAAGAAATGAAAATTAAAAAAAAAAAAACAAAAGGAAAATACAAAAAAAAAATAAAAAAAAAAAAGAAAAGGACACTAAAAAAAAAACAAAAAAAAAAAAAAATGAAATCATAAAACAAGGACAAGAAAAAAAAACACACAAAAAAAAAAAAAACCCCAAAAAAAAATACTAGAATATAAATGAAAATCAAACAAAAACAAAACACAAACAAATCAACACAAACACAACACACACACAAAAACAAAATACCAGACACTCCAACACACACACACACACCCACACTACCCTGACACTCCAAAACACACAACACACACACACACACACACAAACAACATACGACCCTGACACTCCAAACACACCACACCACACACACACACACACACACATACCCCTGCACGCAACACACACACACACAACACATACCCTGACACTCCAAAAACACACACAAGCCACACACAAACACACACACATACTACCCTGACACTCCAACACACACACACACACACACACACAACCACACACTACCCGGACACTCCAACACACAACACACACACAAACACACACACCATAATAACCCTGACACTCCAACACACCACACACACACACACTACCCTGACAATACAACACCACACACACTACCCTGGACACTCCAACAACACACCACACACACACAAACCCTGACCTCCACATCACACACAAACACAACAAGAAACATACTACCTGACACCCAACACCACACACACACACACCAACAGAACTCCAAAACACAACACACACAACCCTGACAACTCAACACACACACACACACACACACACTCCCTGACACTCAAAACACCACACACACACACAAACACACACACACACATAATAAATAATAATAATAATAAATAATATGCCATTTAGGCAGACGCGTTTATCCAAAGCGACTTACAGCGAATAATGGCCCTGACACTCCAACACACACACACACTACCCTGACACTCCAAACACCACACACACAACATACACATACTAACTGACACTCAACACACCACACACACATACACATACTACCCTGACACTCCAACACACACACACACACAAACACAAACATACGACCTGACACTCCCACAAACACACACACACACCACACAGTACCCATTACTACCCTGACACTTCCAACACACACCCACAACACACACACAATACTACCCTGGACACTCCAACACCCACAACACACACACACACACAACCTGACCTCCCACCAACACACAACAAACACATACACATACTACCCTGACACTCCAACACACACACACACACACACACACACACATACTACCCTGACACTCCAACACACACACACACACACACACTACCCTGACACTCCAACACACACACACACACACACTACCCTGACACTCCAACACACACACACACACACACACACACACACACACATAATAAATAATAATAATAATAAGCCATTTAGCAGACGCTTTTATCCAAAGCGACTTACAGTCGCATACTGCCCTGACACTCTTACAGTCGCATACACATACTACCCTGACACTCCAACACACACACACAAATACACATAGCCCCCTGACACTCCAACACACACCCCACACACACCCCCATACTACCCTGACACTCCAACACCACACCACACACCAACCATACTACCCTGACCTCCAACCCACACACCAACACCACATACTACCCTGACACTCCAACACACACACACCCACACCACATACTACCCTGACAACTCCAACCACACACAACACACACACACACATACTACCCTGACACTCCAACACACACACACACACACACACACCACCCCACACACATACTACCCTGACACCCCAACAACACACACACACAACCCTACCCTGAACCCAACACACACACACACAAATACTCCCCTGACACTCCACACACACACACATAATACCCTGACACCCCAAACCCAACACACACACACACAACAAACACAACAAATACCCTGACACTCCAACACACACACACACACCCCACACACACACACACAAAACTACCCTGACACTCCAAACACACACACCCCACACCACATACTACCCTGACACTCCAAACACACACACACACACACACACACACACACACCCCACAAACTACCCTGACACTCCAACACACACACACACACACACACACACACCACAAACACACCCCTACCCTGACACTCCAACACACACACCCCCCACACAAAACACACTCCCCTTTACACTCAAACCCACCACAACACACAACCACCACATACTACCCTGACACTCCCACCACAACAAAACACACACCACACACCACACAACACACACACACACCAAACACCCATGACACTCCAACACACACACATACTACCTGAACTCCAACACACCCCACACACACACAAACTACCCTTTACTCCAACCACACACCCCACACACACAAACTACCCTTACACTCCAACACCACCACCACACACCACACCAACACATACCCTGCCACTCCAACACCCCAAAAACAAAAAACACACATACTACCCTGACACTCCAACACACACACAGTCTTGTACAAACAAACACACGCTGCTGGTACTACTCTCTTCATTATCTATGCATAGTCACCTCTACCTACATATTACCTCAATTACCTCGTACCCTCGCACATGGACTCAGTCCCAGTCCCCCTGTATATAGCCTCGTTATTACCTAGACTAACCTGTACCCCCGCACATGGACTCAGTCCCGGTCCCCCTGTATATAGCCTCGTTATTACCTAGACTAACCTGTACCCTCGCACATGGACTCGGTACCGGTCCCCCTGTATATAGCCTCGTTATTACCTAGACTAACCTGTACCCTCGCACATGGACTCGGTCCCGGTCCCCCTGTATATAGCCTCGTTATTACCTAGACTAACCTGTACCCCCGCACATTGACTCGGTCCCGGTCCCCCTGTATATAGCCTCGTTATTACCTAGACTAACCTGTACCCCCGCACATTGACTCGGTCCCGGTCCCCCTGTATATAGCCTCGTTATTGTTATTTTATTGTGTTACTATTTTTCCTTTAGTTTATTTAGCAAATTCGTACTTTTCTTTTTAAACTCATTGCATTGTTGGTTAAGGGTTTTGTAAGTAAGCATTTCACAGTAAAGGTCTACACCGGTTGTATTCGGCGCATGTGACAAATACAATTTGATTTGAGAGAGTGAGGGAGGGAGCGAGGGAGCGAGACGGACGGTAGGGGACCAGTCACTCCCAAAACGGGCTCCACACTCCTGGCCACCAACACATAAACAAGGTACCAAACAAAAGAGTCATGGTCCTTTTAGCCCAACGCATCCGGTCCTGACTGGTGACAATCCATCCTCTGTCTAGCCACAATTTATGTGTGTGTGTGTGTGTGTGTTGTGTGTGTGTGTGTGTGTGTGTTGTGTGTGTGTGTGTGTGTGTGTGTGTGTGTGTGTCTGTGTTCGTGAACCAATGTGAATGTGTTAATTGAGAATGGCACATCCCAGGCATGTCTTCATTGTCTGTTAGGGCAGCTAGTTCTCATCAATCTAATTGGGGTTGTTTTTGGGTCAGAGAAAAATGAGTGAGCTGAATGTGCAGTTAGTTAGTTAGTTAGCAGTTAGTTCCACATGTCCTGTCTCCCATTCCCCACTGGTGTCAACAGACTGGGAAGAAGAAGTGCTAAAGACAGTGCTGTGAGATTTACAGTATTTAAATTGTAAAGTGAACTCCACTCCACTCAGTGTCCCTCTCCCAGAGTGCAAATAACCTCAGCATGATCCTGGAACTCCACTCCTCTCAGTGTCCCTCTCCCAGAGTGCAAATAACCTCAGCATGATCCTGGAACTCCACTCCTCTAAATTCCTCTCCCAGAAATGCAAATAACCTCAGGCATGATCCGGAACTCCACTCCTCTCAGTTGTCCCCCTTCCCAGAGTGCAAAAAACCTCGCATGATCCTGGACTCCACTCCCCTATCATCTAAACAATACATTCAAACCAGAGCGGTCACACATTAGCCATGTGTTTGGAATGTGTTGGTCCAGGATATTTACAATGTTTCAGTGTGCGTGTCCATTTCAGTCCGTGTCTGTTTCAGTGTGTGTGTCCGTGTCTGTTTCAGTGTGTGTGTCCGTGTCTGTTTCAGTGTGTGTGTCCGTGTCTGTTTCAGTGTGTGTGTCCGCGTATGTTTCAGTGTGTGTGTGTCCGTGTATGTTTCAGTGTGTGTGTCCGCGTATGTTTCAGTGTGTGTGTCCGTGTGTGTGTTTCAGTGTGTGTGTCCGCGTCTGTTTCAGTGTGTGTGTCCGCGTCTGTTTCAGTGTGTGTGTCCGTGTGTTTTCAGTTGTGTGTCCGTGTCTGTTCAGTGGTTCTTCCTCCTTCTGGACAACCAGGTGGGGGACACGTATCTGCGTGCCTGGCCGACATTTAAGCTTGGATGACAGCCCACCACCTCAAGCTCAACCTCGACAAGACAGAGCTGCTCTTCCTCCCGGGGAAGGCCTGCCCATTCCAAGACCTGTCCATCACGGTTGACAACTGTGTCCCTCTCCCAGAGTGCAAATACCTCGGCGTAATCCTGAACTCCGCTCCACTCTTCCCCAGGTTATTGCTGTTAAGACATCCTCCCCTCCCCCCTCTCTCCTCTCCCCCTCCTTCTCCCCTCTCCTCCTACCCTCTCCTCTCTCTCCTCTCCCCCCTCTCTCCCTCCTTCTCCCCTCTCCTCTCCTCATCCCTCCCCCCCTCCCCCTCCCTCGCCTCCCCATCTCCTCCTACCCTCCCCTCCTCCTACCTCTCCCCTCCACTCCTGACCACTCCACCCCCACCTCCTCCCCTCTCCTCCCCTCCCCCTCTCCTCTCCCCTACGCCTCCCCCTACTCCTCCCCTCTCCCCTACCCTCCCCCTCTCCCTCCTCCTACCCTGCCCCCCCCTCTCCTCCTACCCTCGCCCCCTCTCCTCTCCTCTCCTCCTACCCTCCCCTCCGCCCTGCCCTCCTCCTCCCTCTCCTCCTCTCCTCCCTCTCCTCCTCCCTCACCCTCTCATCCACTCCACCCTCGCTCCTCTCTCCCCCTCTCCTCCTCCCTCCCAGACCTCCTACCCTCCCTCCCCCCCTGCGCCCTCCCCCACCCCTCCTCCTACTCCCCCCTCTCCTCCCTCCTACCTCTACCTCCCCCCCTCCTACCCTCCCCTCCTCACCACCCTCTCCTCCCCCCTCTCCTCCCCCCTCGCCCCCCCTCTCTCACTCCTCCTCCCCTCTCTCCTACCCTCCTCCTTCCCTTCCTACTCCCCTCTCCCCTCTCCCCTCAGGCTCCCCTATGGCTTTCCCTCTCGTCCTCTCCCCTCTCTCCTCTCTCCAGGTTATTGCTGTTGATGAGAATGTCTTCTCCGTCTGTCAACTTGTCTTGTAAAGTTAAGGCTGGTAACACCTAACTTAAAGCCTGCAGGTATAATGCACGACGATGCAGTTACAATGCATTGAGCAGTGTTACTTACCTAAGGTCAATAAATAAGACTAAACCCAGATCACATCCTTACCAAAGTCGCTGTCAGAGCTGTCTGGGCCCTCCCCTCTGGGCTGGCTGCAGGCTGGGGCCCCACAGGTGAACCTGGCCCCGGGGTCCATCAGACAGGCCTTCGAGATGGATGTTACCAGGTACTCATCCTCTGTGTTCCTCCAGCCCCACCAGCTGATCTCTGGCTGGCTGCAGCGGGCGATCACTGCCCCGTTCCTCTGGTGCCTGGTGGGACGGCAGGATAGGGGGACTATCCATCAGTAAACAATACATTACAAAACCAGAGCAGGTCAAAACATTAGCCATGTGTTTGGAATGTGTTGGTCCATAGGCTGGGTATGGTGAGGATATTTGGAATGTGCCAGTGTGTGTGTCCGTGTCTGTTTCAGTGTGTGTGTGTGTGTCCGTGTCTGTTTCAGTGTGTGTGTGTCCGTGTCTGTTTCAGTGTGTGTGTGTCCGTGTCTGTTTCAGTGTGTGTGTGTCCGTGTCTGTTTCAGTGTGTGTGTGTCCGTGTCTGTTTCAGTGTGTGTGTGTGTCCGTGTCTGTTTCAGTGTGTGTGTGTGTCCGTGTCTGTTTCAGTGTGTGTGTGTGTGTGTCCGTGTGTGTGTGTGTGTCCGTGTGTGTGTGTCCGTGTGTGTGTGTGTGTCCGTGTGTGTGTGTCTGTTTCAGTGTGTGTGTCTGTTTCAGTGTGTGTGTCCGTGTGTATGTTTCAGTGTGTGTGTCCGTGTGTATGTTTCAGTGTGTGTGTCCGTGTGTATGTTTCAGTGTGTGTGTCCGTGTGTATGTTTCAGTGTGTGTTCTTCCTCCTTCAGACAACCAGGTGGTGACACGTATCTCTGCGTGCCTGGCCGACATTTCAGATTGGATGACAGCCCACCACCTCAAGCTCAACCTCGACAAGACAGAGCTGCTCTTCCTCCCGGGGAAGGCCTACCCTCTCCAAGACCTGTCCATCACGGTTGACAACTCAGTGTCCCTCTCCCAGAGTGCAAATAACCGCAGCGTGATCCTGGACAACACCCTGTCGTTAACTGCAAACATCAAAGCAGTGACTCGCTCCTGCAGATTCACGCTCTACAACAGAAGTAAGCAACTAAATTCAGCCATGGGACGACACAGCAAATTGAACACAACTAAGCCCAAAAAGAGATTGTATTTGAAAATAATAATTTCATACCTTGATTACATTGAGACACGATCATATACAGTATGTCTCTTTTTTATTCGTGGGAATACTTGGAAACAGATTTCCTAAATTGAACTAATTTTCAGCTGAATTGCTGGTGATTTTACACAAAAATCCTAAAAACTTTGGGGGGCCCAAAAAAATCCCTCTGCTTGTTGCCGATCCCTGCAACAACATCAGTAGAGTACGACTGGACTACCACAAGCTCCCTGCTTGTGCAATCAAACCCCTGCAACTCCACAGCACGCCTGGTGTTCAACATTCCCAAGTTCTCCCACGTCTCCCCGTTCCTCCGCACCGTCCACTGGCTTCCAGTTGAAGCTTGCATCATCTTCAAGACCCTGGTGCTTGTCTACGGAGTAGCAAGGGGGACTGTCCCTCCTTACCTTCAGGCTATGCTCAAACCCTACATCCCAACCAGAGTCCTTGCTCAAACCCTACACCCCTAACCCGAGCACTGCGTTCTGCCACCTCTGGTCTCTTGGCCCTCCCACCCCTACGAGGGGCCGGCTCATCCCAGTCTAAGCTCTTCTCTGTCCTGGCACAAGCTCCCCCCTAATATCAGAACCCGGGAACAGTAGCTGCTGCTTTTGCAACAGCTAATGGGGAGCTTCATAAAATCCTAAAATCAGGACAGCCGAGTCCCTGCCCATCTTCCGACAACACCTGAAAAACTACCTCTTCCCTGACCAAAAAACAAACACCCTTGACTTTCTCACACTCACACTCGTCTTTTCTTTTCTTACTAGTGCTGACTTTGCTGATGGCTGCTCTATTGAGAAGAAAATAAAAAAAAACATTGTGATGTGGTTGTCTAAACTAGCTACCTTAAAAGTGAACACACTAACTGTAAGTCGTTCTGGATAAGAGTGTCTGCTAAATGACAAAAATGTGCTTGTGTATAGTATGGCGAGTGTGTGTGTGTGTGTGTGTGTGTATAGTATGGCGAGTGTGTGTGTGTGTGTGTGTGTGTATAGTATGGCGAGTGTGTGTGTGTGTGTGTGTGTGTGTGTGTGTGTGTGTACCTACCTATAGACCACCACAGGGATTCTCTTGGAGGACCTGAAGGAGCCCACACTCTCCAACTCCTTGTCTGTAATCCACACTGGCACCAGCAGCTTCTGGGGGTAGCTGGAGCACAGCCTGGCAGGAGGGGAGACGAGGGGAGGGGAGGGGAGGGGAGGGGAGACGGGGGGAGAGGAGGGGAGGGGAGGGGAGGGGAGGGGAGGGGAGGGGAGACGAGGGGAGAGAGGTTAGGATTATATACAGATCATACAGTCGACTGGATTGGAACCCATGTGTCCTGCTAGCCACAATACTGCATTAGACCGCTGAGATAAACCCTAGGCAGCTAGCTGAAGTCTTTAGCTCAAAAGGCAAGGTTACTCGTCAAGCGCGTATAGTTTATCAAATCACCTTCACTACATATGCACTAAGCAATAAGGTCCATCTGCATAAAACGCATGTAGCTTGATACGTATAGGAATGTACATGTATCACTACTGACGAACCTGACTCAAAGCCCTGGGACATATAAAAGCCCTGGGACATATAAAAGCACACAGCAGAGCAGGGTAATTACCAAGGTAGTGCACCAAACGTTAGAGAGGGGCTTTAATCCAGATAAACATCCAAAGTGAATGATTACCAGCATGCTATAATGAGATATCCGGCAGTATCCCTATAGCCCGAGCCTTAAACTAGGCATAGCTGAGTCTAAATCTAGTCAACAAAGGTTATCGTAAGCTCGTGTACTGTAAATCCTATCAAACTAGCGACATAGCTAGCATAAGCCATCTGCATAAACATGTAGCTTGAACGTATCGATGAAACCAGCATGAACACTGACTCAAACCCGACATATAAGCCTGACATATAACCCGATGCAGGGTAATCAGGTATCACCAAACCTGTTAGTGGCTTTATAACTAGTCTAGAAACATCATGAGTTGTTTACAAGCCAACTACTAGAATTCAGGCATTACCTAGTCAATCACTTTACAATTACCTATAAATCATTCTATATCATTCAACATACTTCTATAACTTTCAGCTATAATATTCGTTACTAATCTACTTTCTTAATCTATTCTTACTATAACCTATTCTATAATCTATTCTTACTATAACCTATTCTATAATCTATTCTTACTATAACCTATTCTATAATCTATTCTTACTATAACCTATTCTATAATCTATTCTATAATCTATTCTATAATCTATTCTTACTATAATCTATTCTATAATCTATTCTTACTATAATCTATTCTATAACCTATTCTGACACTCCAGCACGTACACCATCTCCATGCCTCCTCTACACCGTGCATTCAGAAGGTATTCAGACCCCTTGACTTTAACCACATGTTGTTAACGTTACAGCCTTATTCTAAATGGATTAAAATAAATACAAATCCTCAGCAATCTACACACAATAATTCTCCCATTCTTCTCTGCAGATCCTCTCAAGCTCTGTCAGGTTGGATGGGGAACGTCGCAGCACAGCTATTTTCAGGTCTCTCCAGAGATGTTCAATCAGGTTCAAGTCCGGGCTCTGGCTGGGCCACTCAAGGACATTCAGAGACTTGTCACAAAGCCACTCCTGCGCTGTCTTGGCTGTGTGCTTAGGGTTGTTGTCCTGTTGGAGGGTGAACCTTCACCCCAGTCTGAGGTCCTGAGCGCTCTGGAGCAGGTTTTCATCATGGATCTCTCTGTACTTTGCTCCGTTCATATTTCCCTTGATCCTGACTAGACTCCCAGTCCCTGCCGCTGAAAAACATCCCCACAGCATGATGCTGCCACCAACATGCTTCACCGTAGGGATGATGCCAGGTTTCCTCCAGACGTGACGCTTGGCATTCAGGCCAAAGAGTTCAATCTTGGTTTCATCAAACCAGAGAATCTTGTTTCTCATGGTCTGAAAGTCCTTTAGGTGCCTTTTGGCAAACTCCAAGTGGGCTGTCATGTGCCTTTTACTGAGGAGTGGCTTCCGTCTGGCCACTCTACCATAAAGGCCTGATGGGTGGAGTGCTGCAGAGATGGTTGTCTTTCTGGAAGGTTCTCCCATCTCCACAGTGGAACTCTGGAGCTCTGTCAGAGTGACCATCAGGTTCTTGGTCACCGCTCTCTCTCTCTCTCACACACACACCCCTTCTCCCCTGATTGCTCAGTTTGGGCGGCCAGCTCTAGGAAGAGTCTTGGTGGTTCCAAACTTCTTCCATTTAAGAATGATGGAGGCCACTGTGTTCTTGGGGACCTTCAATGCTGCAGAAATGTTTTGGTACCCTTCCCCAAATCTGTGCCTCGACACAATCCTGTCTCGGAGCTTTACGGACAATTCCTTCAACCTCATGGCTTGGTGTTTGCTCTGACATGCACTGTCAACTGTGGGACCTTATACAGACAGGTGTGTGCCTTTCCAAATCATGTCCAATCAATTGAATTTACCACAGGTGGACTCCAGTCAAGTTGTAGAAACATCTCAAGGATGATCAATGGATGCACCTGAGCTCAATTTCAAATCTCATAGCAAAGGGTCTGAATACTTCTGAAGGTTAGACAGAGTCCTCCTAACAGTACACTACCAGTCTGTATGGGCCTCACGGCCTGACTGTCCTTTAGAGAGAGAGAGCTCAGTCTGTCACAGGGATGACAGTGACTCCTACTCTACTCCTCTGTCTAATCCTTCTTTCTCTACCTCCCACTCTCCCTCCCACTAATCCTCCTTTCTCTACCTCCCACTAATCCTCCTTTCTCTACCTCCCACTCTCCCTCCCACTAATCCTCCTTTCTCTACCTCCCACTCTCCCTCCCACTAATCCTTCTTTCTCTACCTCCCACTAATCCTTCTTTCTCTACCTCCCACTAATCCTCCTTTCTCTACCTCCCACTCTCCCTCCCACTAATCCTCCTTTCTCTACCTCCCACTCTCCCTCCCACTAATCCTCCTTTCTCTACCTCCCACTCGCCCTCCCACTAATCCTCCTTTCTCTACCTCCCACTCTCCCTAGTGTCTGTCCATTCTCCCTACTGTCCGTCTGTCTGTCCTCTCCTTCAGAGCTGTCACACAGATGATCAAGAGCCAAGTAACGACAGAGAGAGAAAGTTCAAACACTGACTGGCACAGAAAAGGCACTTTGAAATGCTGAGTCACTCTCCCCATCCAGTCTGTTCCGCTAGCTAGCCTGGGACCATTTGACAGCACAGACAGACGTGCCTGCTTAGGAGAGAGTGGGCTGGCTAATTAAGGGGGTGGTGTGTGTGTGTGTGTGTGCGCGTCAACTTGATGAGGCAGCAGTTTGATCATAAATCTTCCTGCTCTGCGTTGTGTCTGTGTGTGTCGTACTTGTAGTTGAGGTTGATGTCGGACACTCTCCAGGCGTTCTGCATGTCGAAGCCCATCCTCTTCACCTCCATCTGCAGCCTCTGACGGACATGATCACCTACAGACACACAGAGAAAGAGGACATGATCACCTACAGACACACAGAGAAAGAGGACATGGTCACCTACAGACACAGGGAAAGGGCGTAAAGGGGGAGATGGATTGAGATGATGAAGAGCGTAAAGGGGGAGATGGATTGAGATGATGAAGAGCGTAAAGGGGGAGATGGATTGAGATGATGAAGAGCATAAAGGGGGAGATGGATTGAGATGATGAAGAGCGTAAAGGGGGAGATGGATTGAGATGATGAAGAGCATAAAGGGGGAGATGGATTGAGATGATGAAGAGCGTAAAGGGGGAGATGGATTGAGATGATGAAGAGCGTAAAGGGGGAGATGGATTGAGATGATGAAGAGCGTAAAGGGGGGAGATAGATTGAGATGATGAAGAGCGTAAAGGGGGAGATGGATTGAGATGATGAAGAGCGTAAAGGGGGAGATAGATTGAGATGATGAAGAGCGTAAAGGGGGAGATGGATTGAGTGATGAAGAGCGTAAAGGGGGAGATGGATTGAGATGATGAAGAGCGTAAAGGGGGAGATAGATTGAGATGATGAAGAGCGTAAAGGGGGAGATAGATTGAGATGATGAAGAGCGTAAAGGGGGAGATAGATTGAGATGATGAAGAGCGTAAAGGGGGAGATGGATTGAGATGATGAAGAGCGTTAAAGGGGGAGATGGATTGAGATGATGAAGAGCGTAAAGGGGGAGATGGATTGAGATGATGAAGAGCGTAAAGGGGGAGATAGATTGAGATGATGAAGAGCGTAAAGGGGGAGATGGATTGAGTGATGAAGAGCGTAAAGGGGGAGATGGATTGAGATGATGAAGAGCGTAAAGGGGGAGATGGATTGAGTGATGAAGAGTGTAAAGGGGGAGATGGATTGAGTGATGAAGAGTGTAAAGGGGGAGATGGATTGAGTGATGAAGAGCGTAAAGGGGGAGATAGATTGAGTGATGAAGAGCGTAAAGGGGGAGATAGATTGAGTGATGAAGAGCGTAAAGGGGGAGATGGATTGAGTGATGAAGAGCGTAAAGGGGGAGATGGATTGAGTGATGAAGAGCGTAAAGGGGGAGATAGATTGAGTGATGAAGAGCGTAAAGGGGGAGATAGATTGAGTGATGAAGAGCGTAAAGGGGGAGATGGATTGAGTGATGTCAAAGAGAAAGGGATGATTTGATATGAACAAAATGGCTACAATGAGGGAACCCGAACCCTCAGTTCCCTGAAGATTTTAATTATTCAGCTCAAAATCAGTATATTCTCTGTGCATCCACGTGCACAGAGAATATATATCCACGTGCACAGAGAATATATATCCACGTGCACAGAGAATATATATCCACGTGCACAGAGAATATATATCCACGTGCACAGAGAATATATATCCACGTGCACAGAGAATATATATCCACGTGCACAGAGAATATATATCCACGTGCACAGAGAATATATATCCACGTGCACAGACAATATATATCCACGTGCACAGACAATATATATCCACGTGCACAGAGAATATATCAGTCCGTCTGTTGGGAGTGAAGTGATAAAGGCTATAAAGAAATCCCAGTTCTCTGAGCCGTCAGCTCAAATACGTATTTCCTGTAGGTATCTCTCTCTCTCTGTGTGTGTGTGTGTGTGTGTGTGTGTGTGTGTGTGTGTGTGTGTGTGTGTGTGTGTGTGTGTATGTGTGTGAGTGTGTGTGTCTCTGACCTGGTCTGCAGAGGTGTAGGTGCTGGTCCTCATCGTCAGTGCTGCCCCCCAGGCACCAGGCGTGATAGGCCAGGGCAAACAGATCCTCCAGCCTGCCAGGGCGGGCTATGGCCCGGGTCAGACGCTTCAGCCACTCCTGGCACTGCTTGAACGTGGAGAAGCGGCATCTGAGGTGATAACAGAACAAAAACACATCAGGGCGGGAAGTCAGAGGATGGCCAGGACCTTAAAAAAAAAATCACGGTTTCACCATATTATCACTCTTTGTCCATATCACGGTTTCACCATATTATCACTCTTTGTCCATATCACGGTTTCACCATATTATCACTCTTTGTCCATATCACGGTTTCACCATATTATCACTCTTTGTCCATATCACGGTTTCACCATATTATCACTCTTTGTCCATATCACGGTTTCACCATATTATCAACCATCGCGCGGACAGGGAGAAAGAACTCTCCGGGAGAAAGAAAGGCAGAAGGGGATTGTTTGACGATGAACAACTCATGGTGTGATTGTAATGTCCAGGAACTCAAGTCCTTTTGTTCTTCCCATCTGGAATACTTCACCATCGAATGGCGACCGCATTACATCCCGAGAATTTTCTTCGGTCATCGTCACTGCCGTGTATATCCCCCCCCCCAAGCCGACACGGCTCTCAAGGAACTACAACGGACTATGTGCAAACTGGAAACCGCATACCCTGAGGCCGCATTTTATTGTAGCTGGGGGATTTTAATAAAGGATATCTGAGGAAAACGCTACCGAAATTCTATCAACACATCTCCTCTGCTACACGCGCAACACAGACCCTGGATCATTGCTACTCTCCCTTCCGGGACGGCTACAAGGCCCTCCCCCAACTTCCCTTTGGCAAATCAGATCACACCTCCAGTCTACTCATCCCCACCTATAGGCAGAAACTTAAAACAGGAAGCTTCAGTGGTACGGACTGTTCAACGTTGGTCTGACCAATCAGAATCTATCCTTCAAGACTGTTAGAAAAGCATTCCAGGTGAAGCTGGTTGAGAGAATGCCAAGTGTGTGCAAAGCTGTCATCAAGGCAAAGAGTGGCTATTTGAAGAATCTCAAACATGAAATATATTTTGATTTGTTTAAACACTTTTTTGGTTACTACATGATTCCATATGTGTTATTTCATAGTTTTGATGTCTTCACTATTATTCTACAATGTAGTAAATAGTAAAAAATAAAGAAAAACCCTTGAATGAGTAGGTGTTGTAAAACCGTTGACCGGTAGTGTAGATACTGTATTGTAGTCAGGGCTCATCCAATATAACTTATTAGTTTTCTGGGGATTATATGTGTATTGTTTATTTGTACTGTTGGAGCTACAAGCACCTGCACTGTTGGAGCTACAAACACCTGTACTGTTGGAGCTACAAACACCTGTACTGTTGGAGCTACAAACACCTGTACTGTTGGAGCTACAAACACCTGTACTGTTGGAGCTAGAAACACAAGCATTTCTGTACTGTTGGAGCTATAAACACCTGTACTGTTGGAGCTACAAACACCTGTACTGTTGGAGCTAGAAACACAAGCATTACTGTACTGTTGGAGCTAGAAACACCTGTACTGTTGGAGCTAGAAACACCTGTACTGTTGGAGCGAGAAACACAAGCATTACTGTACTGTTGGAGCTACAAACACCTGTACTGTTGGAGCTACAAACACCTGTACTGTTGGAGCTAGAAACACCTGTACTGTTGGAGCTAGAAACACCTGTACTGTTGGAGCGAGAAACACAAGCATTTCTGTAATGTTGGAGCTAGAAACACCTGTACTGTTGGAGCTACAAACACCTGTACTGTTGGAGCTAGAAACACAAGCATTACTGTACTTTTGGAGCTAGAAACACCTGTACTGTTGGAGCTAGAAACACCTGTACTGTTGGAGCTAGAAACACAAGCATTACTGCACTGTTGGAGCTATAAACACAAGCATTACTGCCCTGTTGGAGCTAGAAACACAAGCATTACTGTACTGTTGGAGCTAGAAACACAATCATTACTGCACTGTTGGAGCTAGAAACACAATCATTACTGTACTGTTGGAGCTAGAAACACAAGCATTACTGTACTGTTGGAGCTAGAAACACATCATTACTGTACTGTTGGAGCTAGAAACACAAGCATTACTGCCCTGTTGGAGCTAGAAACACAAGCATTACTGCCCTGTTGGAGCTAGAAACACAAGCATTACTGTACTGTTGGAGCTAGAAACACAAGCATTACTGTACTGTTGGAGCTAGAAACATAATCATTACTGCCCTGTTGGAGCTAGAAACACAAGCATCACTGTACTGTTGGAGCTAGAAACACAATCATTACTGTACTGTTGGAGCTAGAAACACAATCATTACTGTACTGTTGGAGCTAGAAACACAATCATTACTGTACTGTTGGAGCTAGAAACACAAGCATTACTGCCCTGTTGGAGCTAGAAACACAAGCATTACTGTACTGTTGGAGCTAGAAACACAAGCATTACTGCCCTGTTGGAGCTAGAAACACAAGCATTACTGTACTGTTGGAGCTAGAAACACAAGCATTACTGCCCTGTACCTGCGATAACATCTGCAAATCTGTGTACCAATAAACTTTGATTTTATTTTTATCATGGTTTCACCATATTATCTTGGTTTTTCCATATTTTCTTGTTTGTCCATATCTTGGTTTTTCCATATTATCATGTTTTGCCTAAGAATAATAATACCCAGGTTTTATTTAGTGCTTTTCAAGGACCCAAAGACACTTCATAATCATGTGTGGCCTACATGATCATACAGTCATCTTAAATTGGACAGAATAAGGGGAGGGGGGATGGCGAGAGTGTATTTTTAGTGATTTAGATATAGGGTTTAGATATAGGGCTACTGTATAATATGCTCTCTTCCAGCACACAAGCAGGGTCATAATTAATGCTCTTTAATACGGATATTATTATATAGTTCTCTATTCTAATGAGTGTTCAGAGGGTTCTTCAATATGGTGAGTATTCTATAGTTCTCTATTCTAATGAGTGTATTCAGGGTTCTTCAATATGGTGAGTATTCTATAGTTCTCTATTCTAATGAGTGTTCGGAGGGTTCTTCAATATGGTGAGTATTCTATAGTTCTCTATTCTAATGAGTGTTCGGAGGGTTCTTCAATATGGTGAGTATTCTATAGTTCTCTATTCTAATGAGTGTTCGGAGGGTTCTTCAATATGGTGAGTATTCATGGAGAACAGAACAGTGTTTCCCAGGGCCCTTCCACATCACATCTGCTCCTCAGGTAGGACACAAGGCCAATCAAAGACATGGGAACACTTCTGATGTCTCTGTCTGAGGCAGTGCTTTCTGAGAGAGAAGTGGGCTCTTTGTTCAGTTGAAAACTCAAGTCTTTCAAAAAATTAAAATAATAAGCATCCAAGTGTTTTTGAGCCAAACCAGTTCTTAAGCAAACTTCATGACATCTCTTTTCCAACTCCGAGCAATAACAAATGAGCTATTTTCTCAACAGTTCTCAGTAGTAGAAATATTGCGGTAAATCCAAAATAGAAGAGACTATTGCCAAGTCTCTAAGCCTACACATGCATTAAAATATAATGTTGTGCTTAATATGTCAATCAAACGTAAAACAAAAAGGAATACTATTATGAATACAATTCCTATTTTTGGTCTGGCAAAAAAAAAAAAAAACGCTGATTGGTGGGGCACATGGTATCCATGTGTCTGTCTGTACGTCCTGATAGTAGTTGACAGTGGTCTCTGGCCAGTGTAGGTGTCCTGGCCAGTGTAGGTGTCCTGGCCAGTGTAGGTGTCCTAGATAGGAGTTTCTCTTTACCTGACGACTTTGGAGTCCTTGCAGATGATGTGCAGTTGGAACATGTCTCTGCTCTCCACACTCTCTATCAGCATCAGAGGCACCTGTAGGGGGAGCCAGAGAGAGGACAGCCACATTACTCGGGATAGACAACACATCTAACGTCACGGCTAGTTTAAAAAAGGTACCTATTGTAGAGTAGCAGGCTGTAAATCCAAGGAGGTAGCCAGACATTTTTCACACAGCAGAGGAGACACTTCACCGGGGATCCGAAGATGACATTTGTGGTAGACTTACTTTCCCCATTGGTTATGTAAATTCAGTCAAGCCACTGTTAGGTATAGGCCTAAAACAGACACTACAATAATGTTTCTATGGCCACACCAATATCTAGCCTCATCAACAGCAGCATCACGTGAATTTCCACATTACAGGTTATTACGTTGTCAATTCAGCTTCCATAAACTAGAACGTTTATATCTCAAGGTATTTACACTTGTCATAGTTGCCACACAGTAAAATCTCATTCATATAAAACAACAACCATTATACAACCATTATACAACCATTATACAACCATTATACAACCATATCATCATTTTAGGCCAAGCTCTGGAGTCTGCAGAAGTGCAATCTATTCTAGAGTGTTCACTCAGTCATTCTGTCATGCTGAGCCTGCAGTGTTCCGTACCACAGCTCTGTTATTGGTCCTCAGGTCAGAGGTCATGCTGAGCCTGTAGTGTTCCGTACCACAGCTCTGTTATTGGTCCTCAGGTCAGAGGTCATGCTGAGCCTGCAGTGTTCCGTACCACAGCTCTGTTATTGGTCCTCAGGTCAGAGGTCATGCTGAGCCTGCAGTGTTCCGTACCACAGCTCTGTTATTGGTTCCTCAGGTCAGAGAGTCATGCTGAGCCTGTAGTGTTCCGTACCACAGCTCTGTTATTGGTCCTCAGGTCAGAGGTCATGCTGAGCCTGTAGTGTTCCGTACCACAGCTCTGTTATTGGTCCTCAGGTCAGAGGTCATGCTGAGCCTGTAGTGTTCCGTACCACAGCTCTGTTATTGGTCCTCAGGTCAGAGGTCATGCTGAGCCTGCAGTGTTCCGTACCACAGGCTCTGTTATTGGTCCTCAGGTCAGAGGTCATGCTGAGCCTGTAGTGTTCCGTACCACAAGCTCTGTTATTGGTCCTCAGGTCAGAGGTCATGCTGAGCCTGCAGTGTTCCCGTACCACAGCCTCTGTTATTGGTCCTCAAGGTCAGAGGTCATGCTGAGCCTGTCAGTGTTCCGTACCACAGCTCTGTTATTGGTCCTCAGGTCAGAGGTGTTAATGCTGTCACTCCAAACTCAACAGTTATACAATTACCCAATGAGGCTTGACCTTTGATTGGGGCTGACCAATTAACATTGACGCTGATAGGGGGGGGGGGGGGGTTTAGATTGCTTCCAATTGAAAAGTTAAATGACATTTTATTCTTCTAGGGTGCACATTCATTCAGCAGCAGTCAGTCTAAACTGAACAGAGAGTTAATGACAGAGCAGACTAGTCCTAAACTGAAACAGAGAGTTAGATACAGGAGCAAGCTAGTCCTAGACCTAGTGGAGGGAGGAGGGGGGAAGCCAAAAGTTGCTATTGACACAATGTACTCACAGAAATGTGATTGTCCCCCACCTGGTCGGTCTAAACCAGTACATGCCCCGAGAACCGGAGGGATAAGCGAGAGCGGAGCGAGAGAGAGAGAGAGGAGAGAGGGAGATAGAGAGAGAGAGAGAGAGGAGAGAGAGAGATAGAGAGAGAGAGAGATAGAGAGGAGAGCGGAGGCGAAGAGAGAGAGAGAAGAGAGAGGAAGAGGAGAAGGAGTGAGAGATCTCCTCTCCTTTCTCTCTCTCCTCTCTCTCTCTTTCTCTCCCTTCTCTTGCTCCTAGCTCTCTCTCTCCTCTCTCTCTTCTCTCTCTTCTCTCGCTGCTTCTCGTCTCTCTTTCCTCCTCTCTCTTTCTCTGACTCTTTCCTCTCTCTCTTCTCCCCTCCCTTTATCTCTTCTCTCCCTCCTCCTCGCTCTCTCCGTCTCTCTCGCTTTCGTTCGCATCATGTCTCTCTCTCCATCTCTCTCTTTCGCTCTCCCTTCTCTCCGGGCTCCGTTCCCTCTCTCCCTCTCTCTCTGCGCCGCTCTCTTAGCTCTCGCTCCGCTCCTCTGCTCTCTTCTCCCTCTTGCGCTCGTCTTCTCTCTCGCGGTCTGCTTCGGCGTTCTCTCGCCCGTCTCTTCTCTCCCTCCCGTGCTCTCCTCTCTTGCTCTCGGCGGCCCATCTCTCGCTCTTCTCTCTCTCGGCCTCGCTCTTGCGCGCCTCTCTTTCGCTTCTCCCCTCGCTTCGCGCGTCTCTCGCCCCGGTCCGCGCCTCGCGTTCTCTCTCTGCCGCCTCGATCGGCGCTCTCCCTGGCGCGCCGCGCGTTGCCGCCGCTCGCTCGCTCTCCTCGTCTCCCGGCGCGCCTCTCGGTGCTCGCGCTCCCGCTCGTCGCGCTCCCCGGTCTCTTCGATCGCGCCTTCGCCGCGGCTCGGCCTGCGCTTCGCGGTCTCATCACCTGCGTCGCGCGCGCCCGCGCTCGCTCGCCGCCCTTGCGCTCCGTCGGTCGCCGCGCCCGCGCTCGCTGCTCTCGGCCCGTTCTCTTCTAGCGCGCGCTCTCTCGCTCCGCGCGCGCTCTCCGTCTGCACCCGCGTTGCTCGCCAAATCTCTAACGTCTCTCTCTCCGCCGCTCTCTCTCGCGCGTCGGACGACGGCTCTCGCCCGCTCTCCGCGCTCCTCGTTCTCTCCGGCTCGCCTCGCCAGGCGCGCGCGAGCGCGGCGGCGATCGCTCTGGCGCGGCGCGCCGCGCGCCGCGCGCGCGCCGCGAGCGCGCGTCGCTCGCGAGGGCCTGCGCCGGTCGCGCGCCGCGCGCGTCGTAGCTCTGCCCGCATCTTGCTCTCCGCTCTGCGTCGCTCGCTCCGCTCGCGCGCGGCTCCTCGCATTCTCTCGCGCTTTCTCGCCGCCGCGTGCTCGCTGCATCCTCTCTCGCGCGGCGCGCTCCCCCCGTGCGGCCCGCTTCGGTTCGCCGCGCGCGCTCTCCGATCTTCTTCTCCCTTGCTACGAGCGGGCCGCGACTCCGACGAGCTCGCGGCTCTCTCCTCCCCGTTCTCTCCTCCTTCTCTCCGCCGCTTCTCTTTTCTCTCGCCCTTTACGCTGCGTTCTGCGCTCTCGCCTCTCTCTCGTCGCGCGCGTCGTCTCGCCTCTCTCTGCCTCGCCCGCCTCTCTCTCTCGTCTCTCGCCTTTCTCTCCTCTCGTGCTGCTCTCTCCTCGCCGCGCGGCGCTCTGCCCTTTCTACTCTCCTCCCTCTAGCTCGCTCCCTCTCGCGCGGCTCGCTCCGCTGGCTGCGCCCGTCTGCGCCGCGACTCACGCGCGACTCTGCTCCTCGTCTGTTCGCTCCCGCTGTCTCTCTCTCCTCGCGCTCCGTCGCCGCCTCCCGTGGTCGCTGCGCTCTGCTCTCATCTCGCTCTCGCTCGCCGCGTCTCTCGCTCGCGCGCCCCTCTCGCGCTCGGCTCGACGCTCCCTGTCTCTCGTGCGCTGTCTCGCCTCGCTACCGCGCTCCTCTTCTCTCGCGCTTGCTCTCTCGCTCTCCTCCTCGCTCGGCGCGCTCGCCTTTTGCCCTGTTCCTTCCCTTCTTTCTCGCTGCCCTCCTCTTATTTCTCCCCCCTTCTCCCTTCTCTTCCCTCTGTCCCCCCTGCTGCCCCTCCCGCTCTGCCCCCCCTGCCGGCCGTGGTGTTCCCTGGCGGCCCGCCGTCCCGCCCTTCGCTCCCGCTGGGCGCATCCTCCCTGTCGCCGCGCCCCCCCTCCCGTCTCCCTCGTGCCCTCCCTGCCCCCCCCCCCTCCCCAAGTCAGAAGAAGAAAATGGAAGACAAAAACCTACTGGTGCGCAACGCATGAGAAGATAGCTGTTGCGGCAAGGTACACCGTTCCTCGTTCCACTGACTGACTAGGATTCCTTGCAGGGCTCGCTTGGCACTGCTAAAACGCCAATCCTTCACGTCTCTTCTTCCAAATGTTGCTTAATCCTTCCTACCGGACAGACCCCCTGAGAGAAAACCTCTTGAACTTGGTAGAACGCCAATCCTACCGTACGGCATGGCGCTTTCCTGAACGTTCCGTCCTCAATTCTTTGACTACAGTTTTAGGTTAGTCCATTTTTACAGACGCTCGTATCCGAGCGACTTACAGTATAGTTAGTGCAGACATTTTCATACTGGCCCCCCCCCGGGGAACGAACCCACAACTCCTGGCGTTCGCAAAGCGCCGCGCTCTAAACCCTGAGCTTGACAACTGGGACCCTACTACTACTCTAAACGTTGCTAAACCCTCTATTAACCACCCGATTCCTTTTGAGGACAAACACAGAGAGTAAAGGGAAAAGGCTGGTAATCTGACAGAGCAGATCTACGTGGGTTTTTTTTTTATTTTATTTTATTTTTTAAATAACAGTCCCTCTACATTACTCTCTGCAAGCTGACTGGCGTTACAGATAGAGGGAGGATGAATCTCTCTGCCAGGCCACTGAATGAAAACACCAGCGTTGTTGGTGTTACAAAGCATTGGCTGATGGTCAGTAGAAGAGGACTGTCTGATGACAAACTTTGAAGTGTGTGCGGTTGTGTGTGTTGTGTGTTGGGTGCTGTGTGTGTGTTGTGTGGTGTGGTGGGTGTGTGTGTGTGTGTGACTATGCACGTAGGGAAGCGTTGGCCCGGCTTCCCAAAACCCCAGAGGCAACGTCAAAACAGTCCTGGCTGGTGAGATCAGAGACACTGCTCAATGCACCGCTCCTGTGGTGTCCAGCACACTCTCTGCCTCCCATGGGGTGAGGAAGGGGGAACACAAGCAACACCAATCACCTGGGTGAGGAAGGGGCAGCACCATGGGGTGGTGGAGGATGGGACGCAAGCACCAGGGTGAGGGAGGGGGACCAAGCCACCAGGGGGTGAGGAGGGGACCAAGCCACCAGGGGGTGAGGATTGGGAACCAAGACCAGGGGTTGAGGAAAGGGGGACCAAGCACCAGGTGGTAGGAGGGGACCAAGCACCATGGGGTGGTTGGTGAGGAGGGGACCCAACACCAAGGGGGTGATAGGGTGGACCAATGCACCAGGGGGTGAGGAGGGGGACCAAGCACCAGGGGGTGAGGAGGGGGACCAAGCACCAGGGGTGAGAGGGTGTACCAAGCACCAGGGGGTGTGAGGAGGGGACCAAGACTAGGGGGTGAGGAGGGACCAAGCCACCAGGGGTGAGAGGGGGACCAGCACCATGGTGGTGATGGAAGGGGGGACCAGCCACCAGGGGTGAGGAATGGACCCAACAAGCCCAGGGGTGAGGAGGGGCCAAGCACAACAGGGGGTGAGGAGCGGGGACCAAGCACCAGGGGGTGAGGAGGGGGACCAAGCACTATGGGCCCTGATCAAACGTAGTGTACTACATAGGCTATAAAGGTACCAATTGGTAGCAGACCAGGGGTGCATCATGTCTTACATTGATGATGGAGTCCTTGACTTGATGTGTAGCCTGTAGTTGGAGATGCGACCCCAGACCCGGCCCTCAGCCCAGACCCGGCCCTCAGCCCAGACCCGGCCCTCAGCCCAGACCCGGCCTCCCCCAGACCGGGCCCTCAGCCGACCCGGCCTCAGCCAGATCGGGGTCACACCCCAAATAGCAACCCTCTCATAGGGCTTGGTCAAAGTACTGCACCATTTAGGGAAATAGAGTGCAATTTGGGGCACATGGGAGGGACAGGAACCCTGCTTTAAGATAATTGGTTCCCATCAAAAGATAATAGAACACATTCTTCTTTTTCCTTCAGCAGCAGCCATTTTAGCTGCTTAAAAACCCAAACAAGGTGGAAAAGGGGGAGGGGGGAGGGAGAGAGAGAGGGGGGGGGGGACTAAACAGGGGGAAAGGACTGTAAAAAATCAAATTGATGGCTCACGTCATCTAAAAACAGGGTTTCCCAAAACAGTTTTAGCACCCTGTTTTATCCAACCAGCTGATTCATATATTCAAAGATCTCACAACTGCCTCAGCCCAGACCCGGCCCTCAGCCCAGACTCCGGTGGGTCATATCCCAAATAGCAACCCATTCCTCATAGGGCTCTGGTCAAAAGTACTGCACCATTTAGGGAATAGAGTGCAATTTGGG